CCTCCTCCTCCTCCGCCTTTTCCTCGTCGACGGGGACACTAATAAACAGCACATCCGGCGGGACGTAAAAGTGGGGGAGGGGCACAGATGGGACTAGAGATGAACCGTGCCAAACAGGTCTTGGAATAACAGAAGCCAAGATATGCGAGTGACCTTCATCCGATGCTTCTGCGCAGTGCCCTTTACGCTGAAGAGCCCCTGAAGGGCGAAAGCTACCTGCGCTTGGCGCTTGCCACACAACACGCATGAGCATCAGAGAAGGCTTGATTGTCCTTTAGATCGGGGGAATGGACTCAGGTCCCTCAGATTCCCCTGCATTGAATATTGTACAGGGGCCCACGGTCCAGACTTCCGGGCGCTCGCGGGCGCTTCCGGGGCTTCCCGCGCGTTGGTCCGCAACTTTTCCAGGGGCACGAGGGCTCCCAAACGGGCCGAGAGGGCCACAAGAGAACCGCAAGACGGTCCAGGAGGACCCCGAATCGCCCAAAGATCGCCCCCGAACGCTCATCCTGGCCTAAAGGCATCCGCAACCGTGCCACTGGGAACGGAGCGGGCGGATCCTTAGGTCATTGCCCGATACCTGAAGCCCCAGTCCTCAGCAACCGTGCCACCGGGCACGGAGTGGGCGGGTCCTCAGGTCATTTGCCCAATACCTGAAGCCCCAGTCCTCCGTCCTACCGAAGCCTTAGACCAACATGTCCGAAATCTTCTGGGGTGTCCCGCGTGTCCCCTGGGCGGTGCCAAATGGTGCCGCGTGAATTTCTCGGGCCCATGAGGGCCCCAAAACGGGCCAAGAGGACCCCAAGAGGCCGCGAAGACGGCCCACGAGGGCCCAAGAGGGGCACCAGAGGCCTCCAAGACGGCCCCGGAGCGCCCAAGAGCGCTCCAAGAGCGCCCCAAGAGCACCCCAAGAGGCGATGTCTGGCACTCTAGAAGGGCAAAGCTAATTGCAGCTATCCTCTTCTTGATCTATGTCAACCAAGATGGCTCCAAGAGCGCCCCTAAAGCTCCCACGAGCGCGCAAAGAAGGCCCCAAGAGGCGCCCAGACGGGCCCCAGAGGCGCCCAAGAAACCTTCAAAGGCTCCCAAGAAACCCCCAAGATGCCTCAAGGGGATCCCGCGGCCCTGGGCCTGAGGCCTTGAGGCCTCAACAGACGGCCTCAACAGACGGCCTCAACAGACGGCCTTGATCCCGCTCAAGGAGATACCCAAGACGCTCAAAGACGGCCCTGGGCCTGAGGCCTCCAACAAGCTTCCAGGCGTCATCCGAGAAGACTCCGAGAGACATTCAAGAGGCTTCTGACACTTCTGTTCGCCCTTTTCATCCTCCTCCTCCTCTTCCTCCTCCTCCTCCTCCTCCTCCTCGCCGTTCTCCACGTTATCCTCCTCCTTCCCTCTCTTCGTCCTCATCTTCCTCCTCCTCCTCCTCCTCCCCCTCCTCCTTCGATTCTTCCTCTGCCGATTCCTCTTCTTTCTGCCCGCTCTGGGGGTACGACGGTCTCCCACGTCCTTGATCATGGCAACGCGTCTGGGCATCGTCTCAGGATGGACTGCCCTTCTCCTTCTCCTCCTCCGCCTCATCTGCCTATTCCTCATTCCTCCTCCTCCTCCTCCCTCCCTCCCCAATTGTTCTCTTACGCTTCCATGATCGTCTCAACTCGTATGGGCGTCGGTTTGGGAAGGGCTGGTGGGGGTATGCGAAGCGTCAAACATTTGTCGAGTCCAAGAGGGCCCCAAGACGGGACTAGAGGGCCCCAAGAAGCCACGCAGACGGCACCGAGTCGCCGAAAGATTGGCCCTCGACGCCCAACATGGCCCCCAGATGGCCCCAAAGGCCCCCACACAGCCCTCAAAGAGGCCTTCCAAGAAGGCTCTAAGAGGCCCAAATCAGTGATTGTCCGTTGGATGTTCATGGTATTTGGCCTACTCGTCTTTTCGGTTCCTCGACGCTCCAAGACAGCCCAAAAGGCCTCCAAGACGGCTCCAAGATGACCCAAAACGCTACCAAGACGGCCCCAAGGCGGCCGAGCAAACGCCACCAAGACGGCCCCAAGACGGCCCAACAAAGTCCCAAGACGGCCCCAAATGCGCCGAATACTGCTCAAGTGGGCTCCAAGAGGGCCCCAACAGGCGCCGCATGGAGGGAACACAAACGAAACAACCAAGCCGTCCGCCCAAACAGCCCCCCCAGGAGGCCCCATGAAGTGCCCAGGAGGCACCTAAGAGGCCCCAAGATACCCCCAAGAGGCCACAAAAGGCCTCCAACAGGCCCAACATATTCCTAAACAAAGCCCCCGAGATACGTCCAAACTGCCTCCAAGAGGACCCCGAGAGGCCTCCCACGAGATCCCAACGAACCTCCAAAATGTTCCATACCCACAGCCCAGGCACGGTGGCGGGATATGCCGAAAGCCAGTAGATACGAAGAGTGCCCAAAGACGCCCGCAGAGAGCCCCAAGAGCACACCCAAGAGGCTCCCACACGAGGTGAAAGTCAATGGTGGTCCGATCATGTGTGTAATGGTTTTAGCGTTCTCGCCGTTTCGGGCTTCCGATGCTCCACGATGGCCCCATAAGGCCCCGAGATGGTCCCAAGACGGCCCCAAATGCCCCCACGAGGCCCGCAAGACGGACCACGAGGGCCGCAAGATAGCCCAAGAGGCCGCCAAGGCGGCCACCATTCTTAAGAGGGCCCCAAGTGTAGAACTCGAACTGACATCTCGAGCCCCCCGCCCCAAAATGACCCCTGAGACAGCAGGCACCCCAAGAGGTGCCAAAGAAACCCCTGGGGGCGCACCTAAGAGGGCCCAGAGAAGCCCCAAAGACTCCAAGAGGCCCACAAGAGGCTCCCGAGAGGCCCCCGAGAGGCCCGAAGGCGCCCCAAATTCTCCTCTCCGGGAGGCGTCCCGAAGGCCCTCCGAGAGACCCCAACAAGCTCCTGCTCCTCCTCCTCCTCCTCCTCCTCCTCTTCCTCCTCTTCTTCCTCCCTTCCTCCTCCTCCTCCTCGCCGAAGTAAGCCAGGCGACCAAATGCAATTACTTGCTGGCCTCTGAGCTACAACGCCAGGGGCCGCGACGGCGTGGGCCGACACGCCACCAGGTATTCGAGTAAGTTATCGGAGGTCTGCGCTGGCCTGTCGGGTCGGCGCCAGATTCCCCCCCTCCTTTGCCTGTAGGGGCACGGAAAGGCGACACCAACACCACCAAGGCGAGGCGATGCGCGGAAGCAACGGGGGGGTCTCCCTCGCGGTGTGGTCCCCCCCCCCCCCCCTCGCTTGCGCGATACCCCCAGCCTCCGGCTCGGGGGGGTGGCCCCCCCGAGGGGATGCTGGTGTCGCTCCTCCCCCCTCCGACCCCTGGGCGGCGCCTCAAAGCGCCGCCCCTGGCCCGCCTCGCGCGCAGGGGGGGGGGGGAGGCTACGGCGCCCGACCTGAGAGCTCTGGGCGGGCCTGCGAAGGCTCAAGTTCGTGGGAGGAGGAGGAGGAGGAGGAGGAGGAGGAGGAGGAGGAGGAGGAGAACGAGGAGGAGGAGGAGGAGAGGGAGGAGGAGCAGGAGGAGGAGGAGGAGGAGGAGGAGGAGGAGAAGGAAGAGGAGGAGGAGGAGGAGGAAGAGGAGTAGGAGGAGGAGAGGAGAAGGAGGGGGAGGAGGAGGAAGAGGAGGAGGAGGAGAGGAGGAGGAGGAGGAGGAGGAGGAGGGAGGAGTAGGAGAGGAGGAGGAGAGGAAGGAGGCGAGGAGGAGGAGAGAAGGGATGGGCGGGAAGTAGGAGGAGGAGGAATGAGGAGGAAGCTAGGTGCGCTCGCGTCAACATCTGACATCCTACCCCTCCCTCCCATCCCTTCCCATTGAGCTACTTCATTGTCCTCTCACCGAATCGGGCTTCGCATCTGACCCTGTTACCTAAGAGGGAAAGGAGGAGGACGACGGCGCGATGAAAACGAAGACGACGACGACGAAGACGACGACGACGACGACAACCACGACGACGACGACGACGGCGGCGACGACGACGACGACGACGATGAGGACGACCGGCGACGAAGACGACGACGACGACGACGCGACCGCGCCGGAGCGGCACCCGCGCCAGCTGCCCGCTGCCGTTACGCGCGTCCCCCACCCGGATTGAAGGACCGGAAAGACTCGGATTTTCAAAAACATAGATGAAAACCAAACTCCCGGGAATCCTGTGCGGAAAAGGACGCCGCCCAAAAGGGGGGGGGGGGGCTTTCTGCGGCCCCAAAAATCAACGAATCGACACCGGATGTGTAATCACCTCCAATGTTTTTGCCGGGGATCATTTTCTAGATTTGGGGCTTCTTAAAAAGGATCGAAAACGTCGGCGCTGCAGCGGGAGCACGTTTTGGAACAACGAGAGGCGCAGAAATTGGGCCAGCGCTGCAGCGGGAGCACGATTCGGAACGAGCGGGAGCGCGGAAATGAGGCCAGCGCTGCAGCGGGAACACGATTCGGAAGGAGCGGGAGCCCGAAAATTAGGCCAGCGCCTCAGCGAGAGCAGCATTTTAGAAAAAAACACAAGCGAAAACCCAACTCCGGGGAATCCTGTGTGTAAAAAAACAGTACGCGGGGGGGTGCCGAACATCTTCCGGACGCCATCAGGGGAAGTGGGAGAGTAGTATTCATATTGTGTAATTGTGGAGGAGGAGGAGGAGGAGGAGAGGAGGAGAGGAGGAGGAGGAGGAGGAGGAGGAGGAGGAGGAGAGAGGAGGAGGAGGAGGAGAAGGAGGAGGAGGAGGAGGAGAGAGAGGAGGAGGAGGAGGAGGAGGAGGAGGAGGAGGAGGAGGAGGAGGAGGAGGAGGAGGGACCCTGGGCAAGAGTGACCTTTGGTGCGAGGCTCAACGGGGGACGCCGGATGGCCGCCCTGGGCGCGCAAGCCGCCGCCACCGCTTCGCGCTCAGCGATCGGGCGACCCCACTGGGCCCGCACCAGGAAGTCATTCCGGCGAAGGGCCACTCTTACGTCTGGTCGCGTTGCTGTCACTCTGCTCCTTCTTCACGCGGACGGCCGCCTGCTCCTTCTCGTCGATGCCGGCGCGGGCCTCGGCGAGCTCCGCCCGCACCGAGTCCAGCTGGGAGCGGGCGGTGCCCTCCTGCTGCGCGGCACGCTCCCCGAAGGCAACCGCGTCGCGCTGCAGGCTCCGCTGCCTCTCCGACGTTGCCACCACCTCGGGGGCCGCCAGAGAAGACAAAGCCAGGGCGAGGACGAGTTCAGGTGAGGATGAATCGAGAATCTCGGGGATCCAGCGGCTCTGGAGCATGTATCGGGCGTCGCGGCCTTCCCAGAGCGTTCTAGAACGCTCTGAGAGCGTTCAGGAACGCTCTAGAACGGATGAAGCCAGAGCTGTCCCTGGGGGAACTCGCAGAAGAAGACGGTTTCCGAAATTTCTGCAGAGCCTCCCCTGTGTGTCCACCAGATTTGATCGCAGGTTCAACTTCACCCACTGAATTCAAATGTCTGAGAAGCGACAATTGAAAAACCTGGTAGGGCTTCTGCAGGTGAGGGTTTGGCGCGCAACGGAAAAAAATGACAGAACCAAGAATCCAGGAATCCAAACTGACACCCAATGTGCACAGCATTTCCACGGGGAAGCGGGTCCCAGGGACTCCAAAATGGTGCAAAAAGCTTGTGACCCAGACTTATGTCGCCCCTGGGCAGGGAAAGTATTGAAATGATGGTTGCAGTCCAAGTTTGAAATAAATGTGAGAACAGTATGGAGTCGCGAAGCGGGCGAAGTAAGAGTGTTGGCTTGCCTAGATTTAAAAGCTTGGAAGAAGTTTGCCAGGGTCTTGAAATTCTACAACATCGAAGAGTTGTAACAAGTTCGTCCCGACTTGGACATTCAACGGAATGTGGGCAACGTTTGCACAAATTTAAAAAGTTTGTAAAACGTTAGCTCATATTTGTAAGAAATGTTTGGAACATGTTTGCCGGGAATTGGAAGTTGGGGAAAGGAAGCAAGTTTGAATAAAGTTCGGCCAGACTTGGCAGCTGGGGAAATTTTTAAACATTTGAAAAGTTTGAAACATCGCCCAGACATTGAAGTTTGGAAAGGAAGTGCGAACCATGTTTGAAGCAAATTTGCCAATATTTGATAGTTTGAGCACTTTGGACAAGCTTTGAATACATATTGGCACAAGTTTTTGAAATAACTATCCTATTAGTTCCATATTTTTCCGTCCTTCAAATTTCCCTCTGACTTTAGCTCGTGCTTCCGCTTTGCTTTGATTTCGTACCTTTGGCATACTTCGAATATCCCGCGCCTGGTCACAGCTTCGCTTACATGGGGCAACATAAACCCAGACATACGATGCCCACACTTTTTGCGCTAGGGGGTCCCCGGACACCCCGACCCTTTCCCTAGGGCCGGTTCTTCATCCCGAGCCGTTTCTTGACGGTCCCGGGGCCCTGCGAGGGCTCTGGAGGCCGACGGTTGCCCCCCAGAAGAAGCGTCCTGCGTTTGGTCTGGCGGCGCGCCCGGGGAGAAAGCGAGAAGTGGCAAGCCTTGTTAGAAGGCATCGGGGCCTCTCAGAAGCCCTCCGGTCTGCTGAGAAGTGTTATGCGTGTCCAGATAAGGCTCGGAAAATTTACCAGAAGGCCCGAGGCCTTTCGAGCCTTCTGAGAAGGTCCGCCCCCTCACTTCCCTCCTGGGCTCGCCGCCGAGTCAATGACCGCCACGAGGGCTCGAAGTCATTCGCGGCTCTCGACTCGCGATTCCTCATCATACTCAGCCTCCTCCTCCTCCTCCTCATCATCATCATCATCACCATCATCATCATCATCGCCAGTATCAGCACCATCATCCTCATCCTCATCATCTTCATCATCCTCATCAGCATCATCGTCATCACCATCATCAGCATCATCATGTTCATCATCATTATCATCATCACCATAATCGCCATCATCACCATCCTCATCACCATCCTCCTCCTCCTTATCCTCACCCATTTCCTCATCGTCACCAGCATCATCAGCATTATCAGCATCATCATCAGCATCATCATCGTCATCGCCATCATCATCACCTCATCCTCATTCTCATCATCGCCCTCATCCTCACCCTCATCCTCATCCTTATCCTCTTCCTCGCCCTTCCCCTCTCACACGGGAGGGGCGGCGCGCGAGCGCTCCGCTGAGCCCGAAGCGCGAAGCCAGACATCCGGCGCTTCCCCCCCAGGCTTGCCGCCGCACTTCTGGCAACACCCGGCCACCGCGCCATGCGCCTCCGACACCCGCCGCGCGGCCGCCTGCACGGCGGCACGCCCGGCGCGCGCCAGGGGCACCGCGGGCATCCTGTCCATGGTGGACCCCAGCTGCCCGCAGATGTCGGAGACGGACTGGGCGTCGGCGTCGCCGTCGGTGTCGAGCCACTCCTCACCGTCGATATACGCTCGCGTCGTAAAAACAGAACTTGGGACGGCGGGGCTTTGGTGGCTGTCGGCCTCTGGGTGCTCCCGCTGGGCCCCCGGACAGTCCGAGAACTGCTCGGGATGCGGCACCGGCCCTGGGGAAAGGGTTGGAACTTCGGGGGGGCCGTACTGACACAAGTCACAAGACAGCTCGCCGCTTGGGCCCCACCGCCAGCCCAAACGGCGAGAATACATCGGGCGTAGCCCCGCACGCATTCGAATACCCACACTTCGTCCTCGTACTACTCGCATTCCTCCCCATCCTCCCTCCCATCCTGATCGTCGTCGTCGTCCTCCTCCTCGGCGTCCTCCTCCTCATCCTCCTCGTCTTCCTCGTCTTCCTCCTGCTCCAGCTCGGTTTCCTATCGGTTGCGCCACAGGTTGCGCCCTCGGCGGCTGAGAATAAAACCGTTTCCCATCGGTTGCGCCTTCGGCGGCCGAGAATAAATTCGTCTCCTATCGGTTGCGCCACAGGTTGCGCCCTCGGCGGCCGAGAATAAATCCGTCTCCTATCGGTTGCGCCATAGGATGCGCCCTCGGCGGGAGAGAATAAAACCGTCTCCTGTCGGTTGCGCTACAGATTGCGCCCTTGGCGTCCGAGAATACAACCGCCGCGTAACGGGTGCGACCAGTCTGTTCAGTTCAGATCGGTTCAGTTCAGTCAGTACGCCTCGCGAGAAACAAACGCCCAGAATCAGGACCCTCCGCACAAGGAAGATGAGTGAGTGTTATGATGACGATGTTGACTGATGACGATGATGACGATGATGCTGATGTGTGAGCGTGTGCGACAGAGGGAGGTGAGGTGAGGAGAAAACTGCGCGGGGTGCCCAGAGAGAACAGGAGACCCACTTACGATAGGTAAAGATCAAGACAGTCCTCATGCGACGCGCAAGGAAAGGACATCCTAGTATGTAGCCAACCAACCATCCAACCAACAAACCACCCACCCAACCACCACCAACAACAGCATTCAGTTTGAAACTGTTTGCTCCTATCTGCCCGCGTGCTAGTCGCTAGTCGCAACGTATGTCCCAACAAAACCTCCTCACCCGCCATCTTCGTCTTCGAGCGTACCCCCCTGGGGGTCTATCTTCTTTGCCTGCCACGGGCATGTAGCGCAACCCCTAAAACAGAGGAGCAGAGCACGGACGGAAAGGGGGAGGGAGAAGGATAGAGCACGAGAGAGATTCGCAAGAGGCGGGCCAGGAGCAGAAAGCACGTGGCAGAACGAGACGGACAGACTTGGAGGGCAGACCCTGGCGGGCGGATCGGGAAGGCGGGCCCGGGCGGCCAGATCCAGGAGGCGGGTTGCCGAAGCGTGCGTCCTGCATGAATCGCAAGGAAGTCTCGAGCGATAACGCGAATGCCACGCAAATCGTGAGAAGGAGCAGAGCGAGAGCGTGATTCCTGATTGTCCAGGGCGCGGCGCCTGAATCAATTGCGAGGAAGTCCCGCGCGAGAGCGCGATGTCCGCATAATTTGTGAGGACCACCCGCGTGAGAGCACGATTCTCAAATTAATTGTGAGGTCATATTCGGCGGGAGCTGTTGTTGTTGTTGTTGTTGTTGTTGTTGTTGTTGTTGTTGCAAAGCGGGGGCCAACAACACAGCTTGAGCACGAAGACTTTCCCTGGTAGAAAACAGGGTGCGAGGCCCGAGTGGGGCATTTCAATTGAAAAACACAGTGTGCACCTGTGGGGGATCAACGATACCTATCCTTTCAGACTGAGAACTCAACATCAATAACAGCAACAATCATTTTAAGACTGTTCGCTCTTATCTGCTCGTGTGCCATTCAACATGTGTATCCACAAACCCGCTGCACCCGCCGTCTTCGTCTTCGATCGTGCCCCTGTAGCGGTGATTACTTCTTACCTGCAACGTGTCTTTCGTGCAGCCCCTAAGGCAAAGAAAAGAGGACGGATGGAAGGTTGGGACAACGAGCAGGCGGGTTGCTGAAGCGTGCGTCCTGCATGAATCGCGAGCAGAGCTTGAGCGATATCGTGATCTCCAAATAATTCGTGTGGAAATCCACAGCGAGAGCGTGATTCCTGAGTGTTGGGGGCGCGGCGTCTCAATACATTCGAAGTCCCACGCAAGAGATCGATGCCTGTGTATATTGTGACGGGATCTCGGAGAGCGCGATTTTGGAATAAGAGCGCATTTCTTTATCATCGGCGATGACATGTCGACAGGCGTCATGGGGGGAGGGGGGGGAGGGGGTGGCGGGGGGTATGACGTAACGCCCCCCCCCCGCCGCGCGGCTCCGGCACCACAGCCGCGCACGCGCGCACGACGACGATGAGCGACGAGCGACGAACAACGAGCGACGACGACGACGACGACGGCGACGACGCGAGCAGCATGTAGGTGGCGATCTGCCCCACGGCGCCTGTATACACCACAGTGCCCGCGTGCACCACAGCGCTTGTGTACACCACAGCGCCTGCGTACACCGCAGCAGCCGTGTGCAACGCAGCGCCTGCGTACACCACAATGCTTGCGTGCACCACAGCGCCGGTGTACACACACACACAGCGAATGTGCACACCACAGCAGCCATGTGCAACACAGCGCCTGTCTACACCACAATGCTTACGTGCACCGCAGCGCCTGTGCACACCACAGCGCCTGTCTACACCACAGCATCCGCGTGCAACGCATCGCTGGCGTACACCAGAGTGCCTGCGTGCAGAGGACAAGTAGAAGGAGCATGTCGATGAGGATCTGCTGCGGACAGCTCAACGCCACGCCAGGGAAGTGCTGATAATAGAAAGCCACGTTCTTCCCTCCTCCCTCCTCCACCTCCGCCTCCTCCGCCTCCTCCTCCTCCTCCTCCTGCTCCTCCTCGCCCTCCTCCTCCTCCTTGTCCTCCTCCTCCTCCTCCTCCTCCCTCACCCTTCCCACCTGTCATGCGGGTCGGCACTACAGCGCACGTGCGCGTCTCAGCGTGCACCGCAGAATGGTCTATTCACTGGTGCCGTGCTGAGTGCATGCAGGCATTGTGGTGTACAGTGGTGCTGTGTTGCACACGGCTGATGTGGTGTACGCAGGCTCTGTGGTGTACACAAGCGCTGTGGTGCCAGCAGGCACTGTGGCACACACTGGCGCTGTGATGCACGCGGCTGCTGTGGTGTACATAGGCGGTGTGGTGTACACAAGCGCTGTGGTGCACGCAGGCACTATGGTGTACACAGGCGTTGTAGTGCAGATCGCCACCGACATGCTGCTGCGCCCCGTCCTCGACGATTCTGGGCATTCCCAGACGCCGCCGGCGCGAAACGTGACGTCATCGGCCCCCTCCCCCCCCCAGATGATTGCCGTCATCGGCCCGGAATAAAATTATGCTAACGGAGTTCCCCACATTAAGATATTAACGGTTTCGTGGGACCCATGGGGTACGACAACATCAACACGAAGGAGAAGCTCATCGAACGAGTAAGTACGCACGAAAGGGCAGACGAAAGAAAGGGGGAGGGAGGACAGGTGCTCAGGAAACGAAGCCTTGTAAATAGTATGGGTTTCCGATACCCTTCTCGCTCAGGCGGGACAGGTGGGACGGGCACGAAACCATGTAAATAGTATTGGTTCCGCTCAGGCGGGGCCTCCCTGCAGGGGTGGGAGGGGCACGAAACCATGTAAATAGTATGGGTTTCCGATACCCTCCTCGCTCAGGCGGGGCCTCCCTGGAGGGGTGGGAAGGGCACGAAACCATGTAAATAGTATTGGTTTCCGATACCCTCCTCGCTCAGACGGGGCCTCCCTGGAGGGGTGGGAGGGGCACGAAACCATGTAAATAGTATGGGTTTCCCAAACCCTCCTCGCTCAGGCGGGGCCTCTCTGGAGGGGCGGGAGGAGCACGAAACCATGTAAATAGTACGGGTTTCCGATACCCTCCTCGCTCAGGCGGGGCCTCCCTGGAGAGGTGGGAAGGGCGTGGGAGGGGCACGAAACCATGTAAATAGTATGGGCTTCCGACACCCTGCTCGCTCAGGCGGGGCCTCCCTGGGGGGTGGGAGGGGCACGAAACCTTGTAAATAGTATGGGTTTCCAAAACCCTCCTCGCTCAGGCGGGTGGGAGGGGCACGAAACCATGTAAATAGTATTGGTTTCCGATACCCTGCTCGCTCTGGCAGGGCCTCCCTGGAGGAGTGGAAAGGGCACGAAACCATGTAGATAGTATGGGCTTCCGATACCCTGCTCGCTCAGGCGGGGCCTCCCTGGAGAGGTGGGAAGGGCACGAAACCATATACATAGTATGGGTTTCCGATACCCTCCTCGCTCAGACGGGGCCTCCCTGGGGGGGGGGAGGGGCACGAAACCTTGTAAATATTATTGGTTTCCGATACCCTCCTCGCTCAGGCGGGGCCTCCCTGGAGGGGTTGGAGG